TTTTTTTTTTTTTTAAGGATAGCTTTTTCTTCATCTTCATATTCACATCTTTTAATAATTAAATTTTTCCGGCCTTATCCTATATATATATATATATATACATACATAGGATTCCTATCTAAAGCTTATTCGAAAGTGATCTTTTTATTCACTATAAAAAAATTTTTTTAACAAATTTTTGAAATAATGAGATATAAAACTTGATGTCAAGGAATAACATGAAATTTGTCTGAATATGACTTCCGGTATTCGTTTTTAAGAAATCATTAAGCAAAATAAGTAAATAAAGTCGCTATTTTTTTGACCGGCAGTAGCGAAGACGGAGAGGTATTTTATATTGTATTAAAAAACTTATATAAACACATTAACACTTATGGGATATCTTATACTATATAAAAGTGAAACAAATTTTCATAAAAGTTTTCATAATGGTGAGCACTAATATGCTCATTAAGTTGAGCACAACTGCAATCAGAAAACGTCCTTAAAGGATATCTACAGTAAAGATAAAGTAAGAATTAAATGCCCGCATTTAATGCTATATATGAGAAGAATACAATTCTTTATTTCAATAACATTTGAATTTTTATTAAAATAAAGACGTCTATTAAAAGATAGGCTGCTAATATGAGATAGTAGAGTTTCTGTTAAAAAAGCGCATGGTTGATTCTATCATGAAACTTTTTATTTAAAATGAAACCTATTTAGAAAATTTATTATTAGATCATGTATGTAGCTATTGCAAAAAAAGATTTTTGAAATTGGATATTGTCAAATTTTATTGAGGTTAGTCTTTAAATCTTGTTTTATTATATAAAAATAAACATTTGGTAATAAAGTCTGCATGCAGTGACAGAGTAGAATAGGAAAACATGTGATATTGATTTGTTCAATTGTAAAGATTTTAGATTTGGTGATCATGAAATCGTAAGACGTGAAAGTCGTAATATGAGATACTCAGGGTATTTTTAGTTAATATAAGAACATTTAAATAATTCAATATACCAAAGTATACTATCGAACGATATTAAAAGTGACAATTCTATTATTGTTAAAATTTTTCACACGCATACACATTAAAAAATTATATAATTATGTATAACATTTAAATTTTTTGTTGTTACTTTTATGTAATATACTTTTATGTAATATACTTTTATGTAACAAAAACGTGTATAAAAAGCTTATCTTTTTTCTTAGCTTATTTTTTTTTTCTTAATTTCCTGTTATGAGATATCACTTCATAAAAAAATCGTTGCATTTTATGTTAGGAACCCTTTGTTTGAATGAGCAAAATCGACACTTTTAATAAAAAATTTCGCACACAATAAAGTGTAATTATTATCGATTGCTAACTTTTAACAATGAAACTTAATTAAATTAACTTAAATATATTTTCTATAAATTTGACATGAAGGTAGAAGTTAAAGTTACAAAGTAAATAAATTACAAATCTTTAAAAAAGACTATCTCATAATAAGCGACTTTACCTTAATGATTTCTAATAACGTGTTCTTCTAATTATATTTATTTTGTTTCTTTTATAGAAAATGAATTAAAATATAATATGTCCAAATTTCTTTGGTTCAAATATAAAAAGGACCAATAAATAAATGTATTTGTCAAGTAATTAATTCACATTTTTTTGGCAAAAGCATTTATCAAAACATTTAAATAATGCTGTAAGTAATAAATTTATAATTGTTAAATATTTGACATCACATACATGATTTAAAACAGTTTATTAAAATTACAAAAATTTCCAAAAGAATAATCCTATTGCTTTATAAATATAAAATTTTTGTTTTTTATATTTTATTATTACAATAAAACCCAATTTTATTATTCTTTTTATTATGCTTCCTTTTGCTGCTTTTCTCTTGAATTGTCTACTGGCTGTAAGTTAATTGAGTTTTACTTTATTCAAGCGAAACGCGAGTATGTAATAAATTTGCGGCTCTCTGTATTGCAGTGTATATCAATCAGCGCACCAGTAAAAGAGCGAGGACAAGTGTCACAAGGATAAGAATTATTGCTGCGGAAGAATGTGCATATATCCTTTCGATGTATTCGTGTGATATATTCCACGGATATCTCCCAGCCATTTGTTCAGCTAACTGTCTTAGTTAATAGTCTTTTGAAACGCATCTCTATCGACTCATTTAGGTATAAGTTATTCTTTACACATATATGAAATGATGCTTGATGAAACTATACGAAATACATATGTTATCGAAACAAAGTTTTAATAGTAAAGTTTTGCTTAATACTTTGTTTAACGATTATAAAAACAAAAATATTTGCGTTCGATCATTGACTGGAAAAGATCTAATAATTCAGTTGAACTAGCACATATAAAACTGTTGTACATTTAATTCTGTAAATGTAAAATGTATATATTTCGGATTATAAAATGCATTAAAAAATTATTTAACACACACAATTATTTAGCACAATAAAATGTATTGAGAATTTCACAGTTTAATCCGTTTTTATATTAAACACATTTATATTAAACATACATCCGTTTACATTAAATACATATATTTTTACGTACACAATTTATGTACGATGGCTTTAATATGCATCAGTGCGCACTGATAAGGAAAGTTATTCAGATGTTCAATTAATTTTGAAAAGAAACGATTAAAAATTAAAGTATCCTATCTCTTATTAATTAAAATGAGTGTCATTCGAAAAATTTAATATTTATTAGAAAAATGGTTTCAAAGTCCGCTATAAGCGGCTTCGAAAATGGGTTTAAATGACATTTTTTCGTCACTTTTTTATTTTTTGAGTTTTTCTACTCATGTGTGTGAGTAATATATATAAGTGGAACATGAAAGAACACCTAAGTCTCAATTCCAATGATGAGTGTTAAACATTTTTTTATCTATCTCTTCCGAAGTTCAAATTGCGTTTGAATTTGATATATATTTATAAAATTGTATATAAATGCGTATAAAAGTACATATATTTTCTTATTACACACACACAATTAAAGAATAAAATTTTATAATTACATTATGATCAAATAATTATATTACGAATTATAATAACAAGAATATAATGAAAATATATAATAAGTATAATCCAACCAACACTTTTATCGAAACGCTCAACTACACGTCAATTTCAATCGAAATCAAAATTAAAAATAGGAATCTTATAAAAGCCATATGTTATATAGACATGCTACTATATATCATATACTTTTTCTTCATAAATATCATAATTTATTGAAACAATAATTAAATTTCGGCCGAAATCGAAAATCGAAATTTCGGTTGTGTGTCAATTTTGCCAAAGAATATAAGTACTTCTTCTTTATAAACATCATAATTTAATTATTGAAACAATAATTACACATATTAAAATTAATATTTATGAAGAAGAGCTATATGGTTTCGAAACTGCCACGTAATAAGTATTCGTTTTCGATAAAAGTTTCTAATAATAAATAAGAAAATATATGTACTCTTATGCACATATACATTCATATACATATACAACTTAGTAAGTGGAACCAAACGCAATTCAAACTTCGAGAGGGATAGATAAAGAAATATTCAATCCATCTTTGGATTCGAGACCTAAGTTTTCCTTTCTATTCCAATTATATATATTATTCACATGTACATAGAAAAATCCAAAAAAGTCAAAAAAGTTTCAAAAAAATGTCATTTAAAGCCATTTTTGGAGTCACTTATAGCGGACTTTAAGATCCGTATTCATAGATTCATAGATCGATTGATTCTCATTTCAGACGAGCTAAGTTTGAACTAAAGTTGAACCAGTCAGATTTATTAAATTATAGTTTAAAAAACATTTTTCAAATGAAAGATTTATTCAAATCTAGCTCAAACCGGATCTTAGGTTGAATCACGACTATAAATACGATCCTAAATCTATTTTTCTAATAAATATCAAATTTTCCAAGCAATTGATACTCATTTAGTTAATACGAGGTAGAATATTATAACTTCTTATAACTTCTTATAACTTCTAACCATTACTTTTTCCAAAACTAATTGGATATCTGAATAATTTCCCTTCACTCTTGTGAAGTACATCCAATCAAATTCGCTATAATATAGAGATAAAAATTCCCTTCAATTGAAAGGTAATTGAAAGTAAGGAATATAATAACGATATATTACACAAATATCTGTGCTTACAGGCTTTAATTTGATTTAATATTAAAAGTAACTTTAGCTCGTAATCAAGAGCTCTATTCTTGAGCACATATAAATAATTTTCGCATAACAAAATGACAGTTTCTCGACTGTGATTAGTCGATTGTATATACGGAGTTGCTATTTTCGTATACGATATTTGTTCAAGAATAGGGCTCATAGCATCTCGCTTGGACAAAAAGTGCTTCTGATATTTTTGAATATTTAAGAGCAACTCTTATCAAATTTTCGATGAAATTATTTTATCAAGGTTAATCGCGCCATTATATGTAGCGACTAATTCCATGGCGAATCAAGCTCGAGGATAATTCAGGATGCGACCTTGACATTATGGAGACGCATGTGGGGTGGAATTAGCGTTGCAACCTTTCACGCGGTTGACGTCGCGTACTGCTGTGCCAAGAGTAATTACTTCCGCAGATTAAATTTGGCGAATCACGTTTCGCATTTCGAATGCGATATAATGTGCACCACGTGTAATCGCTGGCGTGTCGCGGGAGAGGAAATAGTGGCGGCAGGAAGAAACGGTGTACATACATACAAGTGTTCGGTTAACGAATAAAAATCGATAAACTAAACATAAGTTCCGCGTACCGGTAAAATTTATATTTAGAAACTGAAGCGCGCGGCGCGTGGAAAACTTGAGTTACGAGTTTCTTATGCGTTAATCTTGATGTGACCTAACGTTCAGGCCACATTCAGGCCGTGACGCGCGGGTTTCGAAATGAAGGAACTCGCCGGCTACACGCCGTCACCGAGGGCTCGACGAAAAGCAATTTCGATGTTCCCGATGATCGCCGTACCGTACAAAACTGGTCACGGAGCATCCCACATCGCGTGAGCTGCTAAGCGCCGAGGCTATATGAAGGCATTTCCGAGAATATCGATCAAATAAGTTATTAGATCATGCGCCCGTCCACTCGCCTTAATATTCCATCGTTGCGTTCTATATATTATAGTTTCGTGTGGTACGCAAAGATCTCTCGTTCGCGTTGACGTGATAGCAACAATATGAAACAAACGATAAGTGGCGCGCATCAGGTGCGACACGGAGATCACTTGAGAAAGAAGTGACATCGAAAGTTAAGTTGCGAGAATTGACGTTATTTTTCGCGTCAATTAAAAGATGAATAACAATAGATTATTCTTCCATACACACACACACACACACACACACACACACACACACACACACACACA